GTGCTGCACCAGTCTTCTAGGTGCTCCACCAGTCTTCTAGGTGCTGCACCAGTCTTCTAGGTGCTCCTCCAGTCTTCCAGGTGCTCCACCAGTCTTCTAGGTGCTGCACCAGTCTTCTAGGTGCTCCACCAGTCTTCTAGGTGCTTCACCAGTCTTCTAGGTGCTCCACCAGTCTTCCAGGTACTCCACCAGTCTTCTAAGTGCTCCACCAGTCTTCTAGGTGCTCCACCAGTCTTCTAGGTGCTCCACCAGTCTTCTAGGTGCTCCACCAGTCTTCTAGGTGCTCCACCAGTCTTCTAGGTGCTCCACCAGTCTTCCAGGTGCTCCACCTAGTGTAGCGTGGTGTAGTAACATTATACTGGCACAGTGTCCTCACTGATACAATGACCTACATTTCTAATCCGTCTTCCAATACTGCAGTATCTCTCTCTCTCTCTCTCTCTCGCTCTCTCTCTCTCTCTCTCCTCTCTCTCTCTCTCTCTCTCTCTCTCTCTCTCTCTCTCTCTCTCTCTCTCTCTCTCTCAAAGCGTCGATGTTCATACCATGTACAGTAACCTTGGGAACACACGTACACCTCTCATTGTACACACAATTCACTACTAACCCACAATACCATGACTACAACAATTCACTACTAACCCACAATGCCATGACTACAACAATTCACTACTAACCCACAATACCATGACTACAACAATTCACTACTAACCCACAATACCATGACTACAACAATTCACTACTAACCCACAATACCATGACTACAACAATTCACTACTAACCCACAATGCCATGACTACAACAATTCACTACTAACCCACAATACCATGACTACAACAATTCACTACTAACCCACAATACCATGACTACAACAATTCACAACTAACCCACAATACCATGACTACAACAATTCACAACTAACCCACAATACCATGACTACAACAATTCACTACTAACCCACAATACCATGACTACAACAATTCACTACTAAGCCTGTGCACATACTATGCACTTGGTATCTGCAGGCATGGGAAATCTGGAAAAACAGACTGGACGTGCAACTATGACCACCCTAGAAAATGCCATGCCCATATGGCAACAGGAAAATGCAAACTCCCTTCCTGTAAGCTTTTTCACCCTGAAATGTGTACCTCTTCAGTACAGGAAAGACTGTGCTATAACTTAAATTGCTAGGCACACTATCTAAAGGGGACAAAAGATACAAAACATCCAGGCCATGGGAAAACCTGGGTAGCCACAGCCACTCAAGAGGGAGAGGTTTTTTAGTGCCAGGAAGGAAAAAAAACTGGAAGGAAAAAAAACTGCCAGGAAATGGCAGAAATCGTACACCAAATCCAGTCATTCCTGGAGTGGAACCACAGTCGATGGCCTCCACTCCAAAAAAACAGATACAGATACTAATGCCGGAAAAAAATCCCCTCCCCCCCAGTACCAACAATACCACCAGTCCGATAACATTCTTCTTTGCAAATATACAGGGTCTAAAGCCAGCAACAAACAACAAAATACCTTTCATCCGTGGACTGCTTGCAGAGGCAAAGGCAATGTTCGCGGCTTTCACTGAGACCTCATAAAGGATCACTTGGACAACGAAATATGGATCCCAGGTTACAACCTATACAGATGTGACAGAGTGAACAGGCAAAAGGGGGGGTTGGCCTGTACATTGCAGAGTCACTTGTTTGCACAGAACTGCTAAATGCCTCAAATGATGTAGTGGAAGTTTTAGCAGGAAAGGTCGAGAACCAAAACCTAGTCATTGTGGTAGTTTACAAGCCTCCGGATGCAACATCCCAGCAATTCCAGGAACAGCTGTTAAAAATTGACCACTGTCTTGAAAATCTTCCAGCTCCTGCACCCAACATCTTGCTCCTGGGGGATTTCAACTTAAGGCACCTAAAATGGAGGAATATAGCAAATAATATTGTTGCAGTAATAACACCAGGAGGCAGCTCTGATGAAAACTCACACTCACACGAGCTTTTAAATCTCTGCACAAAATTCAATTTAAACCAGCAAATAATAGAGCCTACCAGACTGGAGAATACACTAGACCTCATCTTCACTAACAATGATGATCTGATAAGAAATGTCACCATATCAAAAACAATATACTCAGATCACAACATAATTGAGGTTCAGACATGTATGCGCGGAGCCCCAGACCGACATAATGAGATTAGTCACGAGGGAGCATTCACCAAATTCAACTTCAATAACAAAAGCATAAAGTGGGACCAAGTAAACTAAGTCCTAACCGATATAAGCTGGGAAGATATACTAAGCAACACAGACCCCAACTTATGTCTAGAACAGATTAACTTGGTGGCACTCGATGTATGCACAAGGCTTATTCCTCTAAGAAAAAGGAGGAGTAGATGTAAAATAGAAAGAGACAGGTGCTCCCTTTACAGGCGACGGAAAAGAATAACAGAGCGGCTAAAAGAGGTCAATATATCTGAAATGCGTAGGGAGACACTGGTCAGAGAAATAGCAAGCATAGAACTTAAGCTAAAGGAATCTTATAGGAGTGAGGAATCGCGGGAAGAACTAAAAGCCACAAATGAAATCGAAAGAAACCCAAAGTATTTCTTCTCCTATGCCAAATCAAAGTCGAGAACAACGTCCAGTATTGGGCCCCTACTTAAACAAGATGGGTCCTACACAGATGACAGCAAGGAAATGAGTGAGCTACTCAAGTCCCAATATGACTCAGTTTTTAGCAAGCCGCTAACCAGACTGAGAGTCGAAGATCAAAATGAATTTTTTATGAGAGAGCCACAAAATTTGGTTAACACAAGCCTATCCGATGTTATCCTGACGCCAAATGACTTCGAACAGGCGATAAATGACATGCCCATGCACTCTGCCTCAGGGCCAGACTCATGGAACTCCGTGTTCATCAAGAACTGCAAGAAGCCCCTTTCACGAGCCTTTTCCATCCTATGGAGGGGGAGCATGGACACGGGGTCGTCCCACAGTTACTAAAAACAACAGACATAGCCCCACTCCACAAAGGGGGCAGTAAAGCAACAGCATAGAACTACAGACCGATAGCACTAACATCCCATATCAAAAATCTTGAAGGGTCCCCAAGAAGAAGATCACCACCCATCTAGAAACCCATCAGTTACACAACCCAGGGCAACATGGGTTTTAGAACAGGTCGCTCCTGTCTGTCTCAACTATTGGATCACTACGACAAGGGCCTAAATGCACTAGAAACAAAAAGAATGCAGATTTAATATATACAGACTTTGCAAAAGCCTTCGACAAGTATGACCATGGCTAAAGCGCACAAAATGCGTGCTAAAGGAATAACAGGAAAAGTTGGTAGATGGATCTATAATTTCCTCACTAACAGAACACAGAGAGTAATCGTCAACAGAGTAAAGTCCGAGGCAGCTACGGTGAAAAGCTCTGCTCCACAAGGCACAGTACTCGCTCCCATCTTGTTCCTCATCCTCATATCCGACATAGACAAGGATGTCAGCCACAGCACCGTGTCTTCCTTTGCAGATGACACCCGAATCTGCATGACAGTGTCTTCCATTGCAGACACTGCAAGGCTCCAGGCGGACATCAACCAAATCTTTCAGTGGGCTGCAGAAAACAATATGAAGTTAAAACGATGAGAAAATTTCAATTACTCAGATATGGTAAACACGAGGAAATTAAATCTTCATCAGAGTACAAAACAAATTCTGGCCACAAAATAGAGCGAAACACCAACGTCAAAGACCTGGGAGTGATCATGTCGGAGGATCTCACCTTCAAGGACCATAACATTGTATCAATCGCATCTGCTAGAAAAATGACAGGATGGATAATGAGAACCTTCAAAACTAGGAGGCCAAGCCCATGATGACACTCTTCAGGTCACTTGTTCTATCTAGGCTGGAATAATGCTGCACACTAACAGCACCTTTCAAGGCAGGTGAAATTGCTGACATAGAAAATGTACAGAGAACCTTCACGGCGCGCATAACGGAGATAAAACACCTCAATTACTGGGAGCGCTTGAGGTTCCTAAAACTGTATTCCCTGGAACGCAGGCGGGGGAGATACATGATTATATACACCTGGAAAATCCTAGAGGGGCTAGTACCGAACTTGCACACGAAAATCACTCACTAACGAAAGCAAAAGACTTGGCAGACGATGCAACATCCCCCCAATGAAAAGCAGGGGTGTCACTAGCACGTTAAGAGACCATACAATAAGTGTCAGGGGCCCGAGACTGTTCAACTGCCTCCCAGCATACATAAGGGGGATTACCAACAGACCCCTGGCAGTCTTCAAGCTGGCACTGGACAAGCACCTCAAGTCGGTTCCTGACCAGCCGGGCTGTGGCTCGTACGTTGGTTTGCGTGCAGCCAGCAGCAACAGCCTGGTTGATCAGGCTCTGATCCACCAGGAGGCCTGGTCACAGACCGGGCCGCGGGGGCGTTGACCCCCGGAACTCCAGGTAAACTCCAGGTAATACCATGACTACAACAATTCACAACTAACCCACAGTACCATGACTACAACAATTCACAACTAACCCACAATACCATGACTACAACAATTCACAACTAACCCACAATACCATGACTACAACAATTCACAACTAACCCACGTCAGATTGCCTTCATATACATTCTTAATACAAAATTCGCTAAAATTCGTACAAATCCGCCAAATTACTAACTTTGGGAACCTTTACAAAGGTTCCCTGATCTTTTCAGTTGTTTGTGTACCTTAGTGGTTGACTGTACAAAGGTCATGGTGTTATTGTACCTCTGTAGCCTTTGGTATTTTGATCAGAGTGTATACTAACAGTCTCTCAATGTCCTTGTTTGTTGGTGGTTGTAACTACTGTGTATGGCACTGTCCCTGTCCTTGTTTGTACTTGTTTGTCCTTGATGCATAGGGAGTGATTTCAATGTGAAGATTTGGGACTAGTCCCTCTAGGATGTTCCAGGTGTAAATTATAATGTATCTGTCGCCAGTGTTCCAGGGAGTACTGGTCGAGGTACTTCAGCTGTTCCCAGTAATTATAATGTATCTGTCGCCAGTGTTCCAGGGAGTACTGGTCGAGGTACTTCAACTGTTTCCAGTAATTATAATGTATCTGTCGCCAGTGTTCCAGGGAGTACTGGTCGAGGTACTTCAGCTGTTTCCAGTAATTTAGGTACTTTACTGCACTCATTCACATAGTGAAGGTTGTATATTCTCTAGGTCTGCAATTTCACCTGCTAGTGCACAGCCTAGGTAGGTTCAACTTACTCAGAACACTACAGTAAGTCTACTGGACCGTAATAGGCAGATCTATCGTGATCTATCGTTACCTTATCCCGGTTTATCTATCGTAAGAGTGTCTGCTCTTACTCCACATTCTTATGAAGTCAAAGAGTCAAGATTGATCGACTTTTAAGGAATTTGTTGACTTCTAGTGTTAGTGTGTTAGCTAACTTCTCTGTTGATCTGACTTCACTCTGTACTCAACCTAAATGTACTCAAGTACTTGTACTCTCCTTGTTCCAGCCTCGATATTGGCTGGTAGAAGGATTAATTCCAATCATTCAGGCTGCGGTATTGTGGGTTGGTTGTGAATTGTTGTAGTCATGGTATTGTTGGTTAGTTGTGAATTGTTATAGTCATGGTATTGTGGGTTAGTTGTGAATTGTTGTAGTCATGGTATTGTGGGTTATTTGTGAATTTTTTGTGTCATGGTATTGTAGGTTGTGAATTGTTGTAGTCATGGTATTGTGGGTTAGTTGTGAATTGTTGTAGTCATGGTATTGTGGGTTAGTTGTGAATTGTTGTAGTCATGGTATTGTGGGTTAGTTGTGAATTGTTGTAGTCATGGAAATTGTGGGTTAGTTGTGAATTGTTATAGTCATGGTATTGTGGGTTAGTTGTGAACTGTTGTAGTCGTGGTATTGGGGTTAGTTGTGAATTGTTGTAGTCATGGTATTGTAGGTTGTTAATTGTTGTAGTCAGGGTATTGTGGGGTTGGTTGTGAATTGTTATAGTCATGGTATTGGGGGTTAGTTGTGAATGTTGTAGTCATGGTATTGTGGGTTAGTTGTGAATTGTTGTAGTCATGGTATTGTGGGTTAGTTGTGAATTGTTGTAGTCATGGTATTGTAGGTTGTGAATTGTTCCAGTCATGGTATTGTGGAACTATTGTTCCATAATTTCACACACCTTCCTTCTCTGTACACAAGTCTCCCCCAGGATGCTACCCACACCAGTCTACTAACACCCAGGTACCTACTTACTGCTAGGTGAACAGTGACAGCAGGTGTAAGGTAACTAAAAACCCAGGTACCTACTTACTGCTAGGTGAACAGTGACAGCAGGTGTAAGGAAACTAACACCCAGGTACCTACTTACTGCTAGGTGAACAGTGACAGCAGGTGTAAGGTAACTAACACCCAGGTACCTACTTACTGCTAGGTGAACAGTGACAGCAGGTGTAAGGTAACTAACACCCAGGTACCTACTTGCTGCTAGGTGAATAGTGACAGCAGGTGTAAGGTAACTAACATCCAGGTACCTACTTACTGCTAGATGAACAGTGACAGCAGGTGTAAGGTAACTAACATCCAGGTACCTACTTACTGCTAGATGAACAGTGACAGCAGGTGTAAGGTAACTAACATCCAGGTACCTACTTACTGCTAGATAAACAGTGACAGCAGGTGTAAGGTAACTAATACCCAGGAACCTACTTACTGCTAGATGAACAGTGACAGCAGGTGTAAGGTAACTTGTCCCATACGACTCACCCTGCCCAGGATGCCACCCAGAAGTCTACTAACAGTTACGGATGCTTAGAACTTCCCAGCAGGGAAATAGGGTCTAAGACCTTAGTTCCTATTGAGTGAGAAAGCTGGGTATGACTGGTACCTAACGTACTGAAGCTAATTCTTGACTACTTTTGGGAGAATAATCTTAGACAAGTTGATTTCGAGAAATAAGTCAGGTTATTTAGGTACAGTTGGACCTAAGTACAGTCCCCGTATGTTGTGTACATTACTGAGCAACATAACATAACAGAGGTCAGTCAGGGTGACTTATTACCACTGTGGTTCTTGTACGTGTATTACCATCGTGGTCCTTGTACGTGTATTACCACTGTCGTCCTTGTACGTGTATTACCATCGTGGTCCTTGTACGTGTATTACCATTGTGGTTCTTGTACGTGTATTACCACTGTGGTCCTTGTACGTGTATTATTATTGTGGTCCTTGTACGCGTATTACCATTGTGGTCCTTGTATTACCATTCTGGTCCTTGTATCACCATTGTGGTCCTTGTATTACCATTGTGGACCTTGTATCACCACTGTGGTCCTTGTATTACCATTGTGGTCCTAGTACGTGTATTACCATTGGGGTCCTTGTATCACCATTGTGGACCTTGTATCCCCATTGTGGTCCTTGTATTACCATTGTGGTCCTTGTATCACCATTGTGGTCCTTGTATTACCATTGTGGATCTTGTATTACCATTGTGGACCTTGTATTACCATTGTGGTCCTTGTATTACCATTGTGGACCTTGTATTACCATTGTGGACCTTGTATTACCATTGTGGTCCTTGTATTGCCATTGTGGTCCTTCTACGTATATTACCATTGTGGTCCTAGTACGTGTATTACCATTGTGGTCCTTATATTACCACTGTAGTCCTTGTATCACCATTGTGGTTCTCGTACCACCATTGTGGACCTTGTATCACCATTGTGGTCCTTGTGTTACTATTGTGATCCTTGTATCACCATTGTGGTCCTTGTATTACCATTGTGGACCTTGTAATCCCATTGTGGATCTTGTATTACCATTGTGGTCCTTGTATTGCCATTGTGGTCCTTGTATTACGATTGTGGACCTTGTATTACCATTGTGGTCCTTGTATTACCATTGTGGTCCTTGTATTACCATTGTGGTCCTTGTATTACCATTGTGGTCCTTATATTACCATTGTGGTCCTTGTATTACCATTGTGGATCTTGTATTACCATTGTGGACCATGTATCACCATTGTGGTCCTTGTATTACCATTGTGGACCTTGTATTACCATTGTGGACCTTGTATTACCATTGTGGACCTTGTATTACTATTGTGGACCTTGTATTACCATTGTGGACCTTGCATTACCATTGTGGTCCTTGTATTACCATTGGTGTCCTTGTATTACCATTGTGGACCTTGTATTACTATTGTGGACCTTGTATTACCATTGTGGACCTTGTATTACCATTGTGGTCCTTGTAATACCATTGGTGTCCTTGTATTACCATTGTAGACCTTGTATTACCATTGGTGTCCTTGTATTACCATTGTGGACCTTGTATTACCATTGTGGTCCTTGTATTACCATTATGGACCTTGTATTACCATTGTGGTCCTTGTATTACCATTGTGGACCTTGTATTACCATTGTGGACCTTGTATTACCATTGTGGATCTTGTATTACCATTGTGGTTCTTGTATTACCATTGTGGACCTTGTATTACCATTGTTGTCCTTGTATTACCATTGTGGTCCTTGTATTACCATTGTGGACCTTGTATTACCATTGTGGTCCTTGTATTACCATTATGGACCTTGTATTACCATTGTGGTCCTTGTATTACCATTATGGACCTTGTATTACCATTGTGGTCCTTGTTATAAACCCTTGTGGACCTTTTAATTACCATTGTGGTCCTTGTATTACCATTATGGACCTTGTATTACCATTGTGGTCCTTGTATTACCATTATGGACCTTGTATTACCATTGTGGTCCTTGTATTACCATTATGGACCTTGTATTACCATTATGGACCTTGTATTACCATTGTGGTCCTTGTATTACCATTATGGACCTTGTATTACCATTGTGGTCCTTGTATTACCATTATGGACCTTGTATTACCATTGTGGTCCTTGTATTACCATTATGGACCTTGTATTACCATTATGGACCTTGTATTACCATTGTGGACCTTGTATTACCATTGTGGACCTTGTATTACCATTGTGGTCCTTGTATTACCATTGGTGTCCTTGCTATTTCCACTGTGTACTGCATAGTTTGGACCAGTAGGCCTACTACAGTGTCCCTCCAGTAGTAACAGCCTGGTTGACCTGCCAAGCACCAGAAGGGCCTGGCCCATGGCCGGGCTCAGAGACTAGATTAACTCTCGAAACTCTTCAAAGGTATCCCTCCATTCTTATGGAGACAGAAACACAAAAGGCTGATTGATCTGTATATTTCGACCTCCTTCTGGGGTCCTCTTCAGCTGATGCTTTTGTGTTTCTCTCCTTAATGTGACCCTTAAATTGTGTATATGATGAGGGTAGTGGTGGGTATATACCCGTTGTGGAGGGGAGTGCCAGGTGTGTCCCAGCCAGTGGTAGAGTGGTGGGTATATACCCGTTGTGGAGGGGAGTGCCCAGGTGTGTCCCAGCCAGTGGTAGAGTGGTGGGTATATACCCGTTGTGGAGGGGAGTGCCCTGGTGTGTCCCAGCCAGTGGTAGAGTGGTGGGTATATACCCGTTGTGGAGGGGAGTGCCCAGGGGTTGCCCCAGCCAGTGTAAAAGTGGTGGGTATATACCCGTTGTGGAGGGGAGTGCCCAGGTGTGCCCCAGCCAGTGGTAGAGTGGTGGGTATATACCCGTTGTGGAGGGGAGTGCCAGGTGTGTCCCAGCCAGTGGTAGAGTGGTGGGTATATACCCGTTGTGGAGTGGAGAGTGCCCAGGTGTGCCCCAGCCAGTGGTAGAGTGGTGGGTATATACCCGTTGTGAAGTGGAGAGTGCCCAAGTTTGCCCCAGCCAGTGGTAGAGTGGTGGGTATATACCCGTTGTGGAGGGGAGAGTGCCCAGGTGTGCCCCTGCCAGTGGTAGAGTGGTGGGTATATACCCGTTGTGGAGGGGAGAGTGCCCAGGTGTGCCCCAGCCAGTGGTAGAGTGGTTGGTATATACCCGTTGTGGAGTGGAGAGTGCCCAGGTGTGCCCCAGCCAGTGGTAGAGTGGTGGGTATATACCCGTTGTGGAGGGGAGAGTGCCCAGGTGTGCCCCAGCCAGTGTCTAGAAGGGACCCTGTGTGGAGTGTATCAGCTAGTTGGCTGTAGTGTGGGTAGTGATGTGTAGTGGTTGCAGGGGTCGAGTCATAGCTCCTGGACCCACCTGATCGTTACTAGGGCCACTCTCTCCCTGTTCCATGAGATTTATCATACCTCTTCTTAAAGCTATGGATCCTGTGTTTCCTCTCACAGACTGAACATGTAAGCACATAAGAAGTAAGGAGCACTGCAGAAGGCCTACTGGACCATGCTAGTCAGGTCCAAGTCACCTACTGGCCCATGCTAGTCAGGTCCAAGTCACCTACTGGCCCATGCTAGTCAGGTCCAAGTCACCTACTAGCCCATGCTAGGCAGGTCCAAGTCACCTACTGGCCCAAGTCACATCCACTTAAGGAAGGAGCACTACATCAGACCTACTGGCCCAAGTTAGCCACTGGATAAGTGGTACAAGGAGACACACACAACACTACCGTTCCTCGCAGAGATTTATTTCTCGTCTTGTGTTGTATAAGAGA